TAGAGAGGAAAAAAGAGACAGTGAAATCTGACAAACCTGAGTTTGAATCCCTGCTTTGCTATGCGTCATCACCTATGTGACTTTGTGCCTTTCTAAGCCTCAGTTTCCATCTTTGTAAAATAAGATGACATTAATAACTAATAACTGGGATTAATAATACCTACTTCTAAAGGTGGTTAGGAAGACAAAATAATAAATAAGATAAAGCACAATGCTAGGCATATATGAAGTGCTCAGTTTATTGTGATTCCTCTGAAGGTACAGCCGATGAAGCAGAAAGACCATCTCTGATTTCCAAGAGTTATCTATCATGCCACCCACTGCCAACCTTCGTGAGAATAAACAGTTTCTATGGAAACAGAAGAGGCAACTTTGAGCATAAGTGAAAGTATGCAAATTACGTGAGGTAAAAAAAACACCTCACACCCTCATGCTTATACTCAGGTCAGCACGTAGGTGGTGTGTTTCGTACACCTGGCACTAGAACAGGCTGCCCTTCGGCTCTAGAGAGCTCTGCACACCCAATCAGACACACAGACACACCTCAGCCTCTGGCAGAAGCTTCCACTAAGCATGCATAAGTCTGGAAATCTTTCAAGGATTCTATACTTATTTCATCTCCTTTCCAGACTCTCATCTCTCTATTCAGGCCTAGGCATTAACATAATTTCTAACACTACATTCTGACAGTTACAGGCATAAACATCACTGAGTTGATTCTATAATGATTTTAAGATCCTAAGCCAGGATTTTCAACCATTTTTATCTCATGGCACACATAAACTAATTACTAAAATTCTGCGGCACAAGAAAAAATATATTCTATTTTTTGCCAATCTGACAAAAAATAGGTATAATTAATTGATTTACAAAAAATAATAGTAGTATTTATCTACCCTTTTTGCTCCAAAAATGACTTTTAAAAAAATCAGGTGCCTATACTTTTTAAAAAGTATATGTCTTTATTGATTTCAGAGAGAGGAAAGGAGAGGGAGAGAGATTGAGCCCACAACCCGGGTATGTGCCCTGACCCGGAATCGAACCGCAATCTCCTGGATCATAGGTCGATGCTCAACTGCTGAGTCACACCGGCTGGGCAGGTGCCTATACTTTTATATAAGGATTTCTGATACCAAGAATTAATCAATCAGATGCAACTTCATTATGTGACATGACCAATAAGATGCAACTCTATTATATGACCTATATATTTATGATTCAAGACAGGGCATTCACACCTTACAGCTATTGTTGTGTTGGCTGTTGTAATTTTTTTATTTGACAACATAAGGGAAAAGAGGTCAGTGCCCCTGACTAAATAGTCAGGTATTGCATGTTTTAAAAATTCTTGAGGCACACAGGTTGAAAATCTCTGTCCTAAGCCATTCCAGGCCATGACTGCAAGTTCTTAATCCACGAAGTCAATGGGGAAATGGATCAGTTTACCCAACATGACGAGAGACTGTTTTCTTCACTAATAGTCAAAAAGGCAAATATAAGCCTTGGTTAGCAGGTAGAAAGGGAAACCTATAGCTATTCATTGAATAGGCATCCCTGTAATTTACACCAGAATACTAAAAAGAGGTCCCTGCTACACTTACCAAGGGGTACTCAGCTTTGGCTTTTCTGTTTCACTGAATGCTTAGAGCTTTCCAGTCTCTGCAATTTCCTTTTCTCCGTATGTATTTTCTTCTCTAGGCCTACACATGTGACTTTATAATTTTTAAAAAAGGAAAAAAAATGAAAACAAAAAACAAAACCTTCCACAAGTGTTTAAAATTTTAAATCAGGAAATGTTTTATTATATTAATCTACAAGGAGTAGTCATTAAATGGTCATTAAATTGAGGGCGAGTGCTTCAAAACAGCATGCCTCTAAATAGACCAAACTGGCCCTGGCTGCTGTTGCCAAGTGGTTAGAGTGTTGGCCTGTGCTCCGAAGGGTCTCAGGTTCAATTCCTAGTCAATGGCACATCTCTGGGTGTGGGTTCCCTCCTGCCCCCTATCCAGGTGCCTTCAGGAGGCAACTAATTGACGTCTCTCTCTCTCACATCAATGTTTCTCTCTCCCCCTCCCTCCCTTCCACTCTCTCTCTGAACAGCAATGGAAAAAATATCCTTGGGTGAGGGTTAAATAAATAAATAAAACCAAACTGTAATGGGCAGGGGTTGTTTTCAACTAAAGACAAATGCATTTCAGCAGAGTTGTATGGTTTGATGAACCAAGAGGAAGCCAGTGAGTAGTATGAACCCCCTGCTTAGGGCAGTATAAATGTCCAGATGGTGATTAAGACAAAGAGTTAAGGCACTTAAATGCCACAGCACCTTAAGGAGTACTTGTTCAGGGTTCGGTTCAAACATAAGGTAGATGGTTGGACACTGAAGCTTTTTCAACCAACCTGAGACTTTAATTTGTTTGTAGACTCATTATCAACATTGCCATTGAATTAGTCTTCCTGAAAAGGCCACTTATAGAAGGACCACCAACTTCTACTCATTAAAGCATTAGTATATTAAATATGCCTCGCCTTTGAGACATATAATTTAAACAGCAAGCACCCAAGAAAATAAATAATGGACTAGGCTTTTCAAATATTTCATAGATTCATTGAATACTGGGTAAATAAGATAAATTATGTAAAATCCTTAGCAAAAGTCAAGGTATGACTAGACATTGATATTATTATTCATTGGATGCAAACTTATTTGTGATATAACTATGTCCTTTTGGCTGATTACAATCTCTCTCTCTCTTATATATATATATATGTGCATCCCATATATATATACACATGCACACACATTAATGTGTGTGTGTATATATATATACACACACACATATATATGCATATGCCTTTCAAACACCAAATAGCTCTTAAACTTGGTGAAAAGATGCTCAACTTCATAGAAGAAATGCATATTTAAACACCCTGGGACTATTTGTCACTTAACAGGTTGAAAACATCCAAAAGTTTGATATACTGCATTGGAAAGACTATGGAGAAACAGGTATGCTCTTACATGGCTGATACAATCCCTAGGAAGGGCAATTTGGTAGTATTTATTTATTTATTATAACTTTATTGATTTCAGAGAGAGGAAGGGAGAGGGAAAGAGAGAGATAGAAACATCAATGATGAGAGAGAGTCACTGATTGGCTGCCTCCTGCAGGCCCCCAACTGGGGATCAAGCCCGCAACCCCCGCATGTGCCCTGACTGGGAATTGAACCGGGAATCAAATCTCAATCTCCAGGATCCTAGGTCAATGCTCAACCCCTGAGCCGTGCCTGGCCGGGTACTATCAATATTTAAAAAACATATACCCCTGACCTGCCAATTGTACTTTGTGTAATTGATCCTTGCAGATATACACTAGTAGAGGAAATAAATTGCAGGTTATTCCGTGCAGTATTTTTAGTAATAGCAAAAGGCTAAAAACAACTTATTGTTTACCAATAGAAAACTGATTAAAGAAATTATTTAAATACTATGTGGCTGAAAAATTAAAAAACAAAAGAATGAGGACGCTCTCTACTGATAAATTACTCTGAGATACATTAAATGAAAAAAGTATGCACTGTATTCTCCCTTATGTACATAATAAAGTAAATGCTGAAAGGACACTTAGGAAACCAGTAATAGCAGTTACTGGTGGGGGCCGACTGTGGATGAGAACTGGCAGATGGGGGGAAAAGGGTGGAAAGAGACTTTTCACTATAAGCTTCTTTATATTTTTAAATCCAGTTTCCATATTAGCAATTCAAAATTTTAAACTAGAATTGTTTTTCATTAAAAATGTGTATAATACATCTAAACAACTGACTATCATTCAGTGATAAAAAAGAAATGAGCTACAGAGCCAGGAAAAGACATTAGGGACCTTAAATGCATATTGCTTAAGTGAAAGAAGCCACATTACTGTCTGACTCCAACTCTCTGGCATTCTGGAAAAGTAAAACTTTAAAGACAGAAAAAAGATTAGTGGTTGCCAAGGGTTGGGGGGCAGGGACAGGGATGCATAGGTAGAACACAAAGAATTTTTAGGGCAGTGGAACTACTCTGCATGATACTATAATGACAGTTACATGACATTGTACATTTATTAAAACCCATAGAACCGAGAAAACACAAAGACTGAACCCAAACGTAAACTATGGACTTTAGTTAATAACAATGTGTCAACATTGTTCATCAGTTATAACACATGTACCACACTAATGCCAGATGTTAATAATAGGGGAAATTCTGAATAAGGGAGAGAGGAAGTACCTGGGAACTCTGTATAATATCTGTTCAATTTTCTGTAAACTTAAAACTGCTCTAAAACAATAAAGTCTATTAATTTTTTTAAATTTGTGTGCATATATCCTTTTTTCATCCAGTAAATGCCTTACACACTGAGGGTCCTCAATCAAGTACTAGCTACAGCCTGAGTAGTCAAGAGCTCAGGTTCTGGAGTGGACAAATTAGGTTCTGATCCCAGCTCTACCATTTCCTAGCTGTGTGGCCCCATCTGTGCAAGTTACCTCTTCAGCCTCAGTTTCTCCGTCTGCAAAATGGAAGAAAAACACAGTATTTCCTCCTAGGGCTGTTATGACGATTCAATAAAGAATGCATGTAAATTGCTTAGTACAGTGCCTATGGTCAAAGAAACGCTCACAACTGTTAGTTGTCGCTATAACAGTAAAATCATTCTTCAAAGAATGACTGATCTGGCACTTCAGGTTTCAAGGTTATTCCACTACACCCCAAAAGGGCCCCAAATGCTCAACTCCAGCCTATCCCACTTTGAACACAATCCTGCAGCGCGAACCCTTCGCTCCTTACTCCCCAGGCGCTGGGTTCCGCCTCGCGGGGCCTCAGGGGCTCAGGACCCCAACGCGCCCCCTTCCCCGCTCCTCCTCCTCCGGCCCGGACCGGTTCCCACACAGACCCCGCCCCCGTCTCCCCCGAGAGCTCAGCCTAATTCGTCTGCGCCTCTTTCCTTCCCCCAGGCTCCTACCCAGATACTCGTAGTCCGGTAGGGCTAGGCGCTCGGGACTCAGCATCATTTGACAGGGGCGGCCTCCGAGCTGCAGCTCTACGACTTCCGGTGCCCAGGTCGCCCTCTCAATCCGTTGCCATGGCACCCACGCAGCCTGAGGGGAGGAAAGAGGCGGAGGGGGTGTCACGCAAACAGTTTCCGTACCGCAACGCCAAGCTGGCCACATCGGTTCCGGGGGTGGTGGTGCGTCTTCCTAGGACTCAGGAATTCTCGAGAAGGTGGTGGTAGAGGAATTTGAGCGGAGAAGTATTATTGCCAGCCTCTCATAGTCTCAATTTCTGACCTTCCTAACTATTCCTGCTTTCTACACCTGTTATCCTAATACACAGTAGCTCCCACCCCTAAATTCCCATAAACACTTAATATCCCATTACCTATTTTTATCTCTTTATTATTTACTATCTTCAATTGCTACAAAGTGCTTTCACGTGCTTATGTCTTGACTCCTCCTCTAACAAGGCTGGACACATAGAAGGTACTCATTAAATCCTCTAAGAGTTCATTAACATTTCCTCTCCCATTCCTTTATCTTTAGCCCCTCCTTCTCCTGTCCGTTACTGTTTGGTACCCTGCCCAAGTGTTTTTCTTTTTTCCTGCCAAGACACTCCACTTCTTGAGGGGATGGGGTGCACAAACCAAGGCACCTATTGGAGCTGTTTCCTCATATACCTAATTGCTCACTTCCTTAGAAGGGAAGAACAGTCATGGGTTTTCAAGTTTCCAGAGATCCAGATATTTCTCTTTCTGCTTCCCTTCGCTCCCAGTAGCAGGTTAGTGGTCTGTACCACTTGTCACAGCTGAAGCCTATTGGAAAAAGCCACTCTGTTCTCACTTGTTTAGTTTGTGCCCCCCACCCCAAGAGAAGGTGAGGTTTTGTGAAAAGAAAACAAAACCATGCTATCAAAGGAATAACTAGGAAACCAGTAGACCACCTACATTGGGAGGAAAAACAAAGAGGAGGTTCTTCTCTTTGTGCTTTGAGTGGTCTATTCTTAGGCTCCTCCACCAGGAGCTTCAAACCTCCTAATTCTCCCTTTCCCTTAAAATTGTATATGTGTCTCATTTCTAGGCTCCTGTGAGTCACTCTGAGTTTAGATGTGGTAAGGATAAAGGGACAGACCCAAACTAGGAACAGCATTTATTATCTTGAGGTAATGAATTTACTAATTAGATATTTGATGTGGGGTCCTGCAAATAGGATGAAAATATTTGCCTTCTCCCTCTACCCTTGCCCCCCCCCCAGCCCCCTTACCAAAGCAGCTAAGGGTATGGGAGTTTCTAACTTTCACACCTGTGGCTTATTACTATATTACTAAAAAAGTAATAGGATGGTAATTGTTAAGGGTCACAATTTCATTTTATTTCCAAGGAACCTGAAGCTATTTGCAGATCATTTCACTTGTCATAAGAACTTTCAAAGGCACATCTCCCTTTTCTAAGTAGGAAAACTGAGGAACATAGAAAAATGAATTGTCTAGCATCACCCAGCCAATAGTGGGAGACCTGGAACTGGACCTCAGCTATCCCAACCCCCAGGCTAGTGGTCTGACCACTAAACCACACAGCCTCTTTTTTTAGGGTTTGCTGGCTTGGTTTTTATTTATTTATTTTTCCTTTTGCTCTACCCTGCCAGCAACTGGAAGCTACAAGATAAAAGAAGAGAATTTTCAGTCCAGGCTGAACATTTGACATCCTCTTATTTGTGAAGCATTATCCTGGGACTTGGAGGGTGCTGCTGCTGAGGTCTGTGCGGTGGAGCTGGGAACCAGCCCCAAGAATATAGCTTTGTTTGGGCATTAACCCATTTGCGGTTATAATAATGATAAGTTTCAGCACCAGTGGCGCCCGACTGTTAATGACTCAAAGAAAGCTAAATAAGAACAAGATGTCATCTCTGGAGCAATTTGTAGGTTTTTCCTACAGCTCCATTCCTTCCATAAAAATCCTAAGGACCCTTGTATTTAAAGTCAGTCTCTAGCCTTAATGTCCTGAACATTCTATTGAAGAAGATGACTTAGAAAAGGGTAGGTGGTTGCTAGACTAAGGGTCAAGAAAATTTGGGGTTGCACAGAAATAACAGGTAGCTTTTTACTCGTGGTGGAATTACTGACTGTTTACACTTTTCTTCTTTAGATTTTTCTATATTCACAGAACTTGTCTATAATAGGCAAGTATTATAATCTGAAAACAAAGGCAATAAATGAGTAGCTTGAAAATCTTTAAAATATTCTTTAAGCAGAAGTGATGACCTTCCAAATAGTGTTTGGTTTTCCCAAGAAAGAGCCACTACTTTTAGATTTATCTTCTGCCATAGATTACACAATAATAGATTGTGGCAATACTTCAGTGGTGAAGGACATTTTTCAATGAAACATACAAAACATCAGTCTTGAGAAAAGTAGAAATGCATAAGAGTTAAGGTCAAGTGTATTTTTGTGACCCTGCTGAATGTTAAAGAAAGAAAAAAAAAGTCAGCCTTCAATTTAAATGGGCTTTTCAAGTTTTTAAATGATCACAACATGTTTCTGAAATTTTTACCCAAACAAATAATTATCCAGTAAGTCAGAAGACAACTCCACAATCCTGAAAATAAGCAGGCAATGTAAAATTGATTAAAATATAGAGAGGGCATGAGATATTAAAGTATTACAGCACAAGGAATTGAAACATCAAACTCAAAACAATAGGAGAAACACCCACAAGAGAGGGGATATGTTGAGATGTCAATTTATCAGATTATAATTACTAATTATAAAGAGAAAATTAACAGATGTCTCTGGCTCTGCCAAGGACCTATGAAGAGATTGATAGGAAAGAAAATTTTCCCTGGAATTGAAAACTTCAGGGAAAACAACATAAATGTACTAAATAGTTTTAAACCTCAAGGAAACAATAAGGAAAGATTCATGCTGGATTATTGCTACAAAACAGGTTCAAGAAAACTAGGACAAGCTTTTATCAACTCATCAAGCAGAAAAGATGCTAAAGGCGAACAAGCTACTAAGAAATGCAGGTCATGAAATTCATTCTGAGTTATTAGGTTCCTCTTAAAAGATATATCCGCCTTAGGAACAAAGCAGAAATTAAGTGTGCTACCACCACATGGAATTAACATGTTTAAATTTAAAATGCTATTTACAGACAAGCCATTTTGAAATAGCACAGGTCAATAGACCAGAGCTTTGGGAGAATTTGCAAAGAAAACGTCCTCAAACTCTGGTACAGTTAAAAATAAGTAATACATTACAAGAAAGCGATTAAATTGAACTGGAAGCTGAAAGGCAAATTACAGACTTGTACCTTCTTGTTATTTTATATTTTCAAATGCTGCAAAAAGAGTTGGGAGTTACACTCTCATATAGCTTGAAAGGGAGGAAGATTTTCTGATTCTTCTTGGCAGCCCACAAAAATTAGCTGTGCCTTCTTCCCCTGTCCTACATGATGCACTTTGATAAGCACTTATATCATTTTTAAAAAATTCTTTGAATTCTCCTACTAGATTATAAATTCCTTGAGGGCAGAAACAGTCTTCACTCATCTTCAAATTTCTAGGATCATGCACAGGGCCTGATAGAATAAATGCCTGAATGCCATAAATAGATTTTTCTTCCTGTAAATTAAAAGTCTAGAAAACAAAGTCCACCCAATCCATAGGACTTATGGTTGCCTCATATGAACCAACTCATGAAACAAATTTATTTGAGAAGAAGTCCAGAAAAATGCAAGGCATCATTGAGAAAGGCATTAAAAATTAATCAGAAAGCACTGGCAGCCCTGGCCAGGTAGCTCAGTTGGTTAGAGCATTGTCCCAATACGCCAAGGTTGTGGGCTTGATGTCCGGTCAGGGCATGTACAAGAATCAACCAGTGAATGCAACCAAGTGGAACAATGAATCCATGTTTCTCTCTCTTTCCCTTGCTTTCTCTCTCTAAAAAGAAAAAAATCAATTGATACTTTTTTTAAAACTACAGCATTTTTAAAAAAAAGCGCATTGGCATATGCTCTCTACACCTAAATACTGTGTATGACAGATCATCATATCTTAAGAAATGCCCAGAAAAAAGCGCAACAAACTCAACGAAAGGCCTAGAGCCTATGCTACGTGGACACAAGCAAAGAGAATTAGTTCAGGAAGACGAACGGGAATATACTATGAATCATTCAATGAATTTAGGATTTGAACTGGAAGTCCCGAATCTGAAGATGAAAAGCTGCAGTTTCTGTGTTTACTTTTTCCCCCGCCAAGCCATCCTCTACATTGTGACAAGAGTTTATTGTTCTAATGTTCACATTTGACCATGTTACATCCTTACCTAGTAAGTGCTGCTGACTCACAGTTACCAGGATGAAGTAAAATCCCTTAACCTGCAGACGTATATATCCCTTCACAGTCTGGTCCCAACCCACCTTTTGGCCACCTTGCATTCACTCTTCCCTACATAACACTCCAGCCATACTTTTCTACTCACTACTCCTAATCATACTGAGCTTTTTCACACCCTCTTGCTTTGGACGTAAGCTCTTCTCACCCCTAAGAATGCACCTCTCCCGCATTTGCTGCCTAGTAAACTCTCGTGCTGTAAAACCTAGGCCAAATGCCACCACCTCTGTGAAAGCTAATCCGACCTCCAAAATAAAATAAGGTAAAGGCCGTGAGTGCGAATGAGGCAAATTTAGGGTGTCGAGGCGAGCCTTCCCTGAGGCCGTGACACTGAACTGAGGCCAGCCATGGATCGGTCTGGGGACACAGAATTCTAAATAGCTCATGCAAGGGGTGGAAGAAGGAAAGGATAGCATGTTGCTGAGCTGAAAGAAAGCCAGTGTGACTAGAGCAGAATGACCGAAGGGATACATGATCAAAGAAGTAGGCAGAAGCCAGATCATGAAGGACCCTGAAGGCCAAGGGAGAAGTCTGGTTGTTATTCTAAGAGTAGCAGGAAGCCATTGGAAGGTGTTATGTCAAGTAATGACCTGATCCGATTTCTGTTTCTTAAGAAATCACTCGGGTTGCTTTGTACAGAATGAATTATAAAGGGGCAAGTATGGAAAGAGAGAGACCATTTACATAGATGCTTGATTCGTGTTTGTCATTAACCAGGTGTTTATTCATTGATACATTTATTTATGCGACATTCTAGATTTATCTTTGCTGCTGAAATAAGCCAGACATAATGAGATATTTGCTGCAAAGAGCTCTACTCATATGTGCCACATGTGTGAATACTAAGCTTTCAGGAGATAATAGTGTCAGAAAGTCCCACCATTCGGGCTGTGCCCCAAGTTAGGCCAGGGAACTGAATCTGCCATCTACCCCAGATCCTGACACGAGTACCACTGCTGAGCTGGAACATGAAAAGTGTTGATGCTAGAAATGGTGGTACGGAGGATTTGCAATTAAAGAAAGCATAGAAATGTAAATCAGACTATTCCCTTATACTTTCATTTATTTCGTGGTCCCTAGCAGTAGCCCCCTTGCACCTAGATAAAAGCACACCCCTTGCTAAAAGTTAATGATACTTTTTCATAAATCCTATGGACATGTTTCCTGGCTCACAGCCTTTGTACATACTCTGCCTTCTTCCTGGAAGACCCTCCCCATCTACTCTTAGCCTAGTGACTCTTAATCAACTTAAGTGTCAGTGCCTCTCACAGGCCTTGCTTGAAACCCCAAATCTAAATCAAGTCTCTTCTTTAATAGAACCCTGTACTTTCCCTTGAATGCCTCTATCATTTGTAGTCTATATTCATTTGTGAGATCATTCTTTTAATGCCTCTGCATCTTTGTAGCCTCCACACTCATCAGACTGTAAGTTCCAGAGACCCAATATATCTGCTTGCCATTGTTTCTACAGTGCCCGGCACATAATACACTGTAATAAATACTTACTGTTACTAAGTGAATGAATACTGGAAATAGGCTTCCCAAGGTGGGTAAGTATAGGACGCCCTTAGCTCCTTTGGCTGTGCTTTCTCTTGCTTTCCCTTCTATAGCTTTAAGAATCCCTGCCCTTCAGTCACAGAAAGTGAACCCGAGAGAGAAGATGCAGCAGTTCTTTGCAGATCCGTGTTCTTAATCTTTTAAATCAGGGCCTCACAACCTCAGCACTATTAAAATTTTGGGGTGGCTAATTTTTTGTGGGATGGATGTACTGCTCATCGAAGGCTGTTTAACAGGATCCCTGGCTTCTACTCACTATTTGCTCCCAAAAATGTCTTTGGGTATTGCCCATGTCTACAAAACCACTCCTGATTGAGAACCACTGTTTTAAAGTGTGAAACTTCGAACCTCTTACTCTTTTAGAAGAATTATGTTTAGAAATTCAGGTTGTTGGATGATGCCTCCATTTTAAGAGAATTCTACCAACCCAACTGGATCAAAATCGTGCCCATTTCTATCTTGCTTCTGTAGCACTCCCTGTGTTTTCTTTGAAAAGGCCATTAGTGATTGGTCGAATTCAGGGCAATATTCTGATCTTGGAAATTCAGTACCCTGGCCTGTCCTAGAAGGATGAAGGAAAGGGGTGGTGTTTCTGAGGAAACCAGTGCCTCTGAGACCCCTCTGGAATTGGCAGTCCCCTACAACTTTTTGAGGGGCATGCCCCAGAGGACAATAAAAGGGAGACAAACAGCTCATTCTGGCATGCTTTTCAGGATCTCTCACTCCAAACAAGAAAGTCTGAGAGGCCTGGTAAAAATAAATATGGCTTAGCACTCCTGGCACAAGAGCAGTTTCTGACAGCCAAGACTTAACTCACCCTAGGGGGTGACCCAGGCAGGGGCTATGCACAAAGTTCGTTTCTACCCATTGATATTCCCAGTGACTAACGGCAGCCAGGATGGCTCTGTGCACCAGAACTGTGCTGAACCATGGAGGAGGAGGAGCACTTGGGATGCACACAGAAAACACGGTTTCCTGAGCCTGAGTCAGACAGGCATAACCGGCCTCCCCCTTCCTCCTGGATCCCAGAAAAACAACACAAATCATGCCTTCTGGAAAGGAACCTATCCTTTGCATACAGAGTGGAAACTGTTTATAAATCCCTAATCCCCTGACATCGAAAGTATGGTGACCGCCTGTCCCGGATTTTTTTGTGACAAATTTATTCATTATACCACATGTCCTTAATGTGGAAAAAAATATGGTCTCCAGAATCATAAGGTCTTTCTCAACAGATCGAAAAGCAAGTCCTCATAATTAACATATATTGAAATCCTGAGACCAACCAAGGCTTCATCAAAAATGCTTGGGGGGGGTGGGATGTGGAGAGTGTATGTGCTAAGAATCAGCCTCTACTTTTCACTTCTTTCTCCTCGGATTTTAGGCTAAGGTGACATAGGTCCTATCTTTCCTAGCAGTGAGATTCTGTAAAGCTGACCTGTCTCTCGGCTGCCGCCTTCAGTCAGCAAGAAGAACTACACGCACCAAAAAAACGCCTCGGTGTAAGTTACCATGGTGATGCTAGTTCAACCACATTTCATCTGTGTAAAAATCTCAGGCAAAACACTATAGAGAGGTACTGGCTGTGGAGGAGTTAACACTTCACGTGTTTTGGTTGCCGTTGCAAAGTTAACGTTAGCTTTGGTCAAAGATGGTAATTTGAAGGGAAATCCTTTGAAAAACTGAAAACAAGCAAAGACGAAATGCCAAGGGATCCATTGGAGAAATCTCCTGATATCCGGTTTGCACTACACCAAATTACTACTTTTCCCTTAGCTAACGTGGGCCATTTGGGTCTTCCTGACTCTATTGACTCCAGTGAGAAGAAAGTGGCTTCACAAAATGCCAGAAGATTCCAAAACCAGAAAAGCTGGCCGTACCAACCTGGAGGGAAAAGCAATACATCGGACCCTAAGGAAGCTGGGGTCTTGGACAAAAGTAACAAGACAAGAGACAACTCAGAAAGTGGAAGATGGTAACAAGAGTAACCCATGTTCTTAACATGCACTGGGGAGAGGCATGGGCCGCATGGCTAAGACTAGGGAGGAATCTCTAACTTTGTAGCAGAACGTGGCTGGGAGCTCTGCAGACCGAAGCTGGGAGGAGGCTGAGGTCTCTGGGAGAGTGAAACTGCAAGGAAGGACCAACTTCCTTGCCCCCTTCCTTTCCTGCAGGGACCAGAAAGTCAAGGAAGGTGAAGAGGCTAACAACGCTGATTTACAAAGACAGAGAGGAGGAACTAAGTCTGTCTGGGCCAACTGTGGACGCCTGAACCGGGGCGACAGGACCCAGACAACCACCTCAGGAAGTGAGTAAATGAAAAGGGGAGGTCGTGGAATTATTTAGCCCTAGAACAGCGCTGCCCAGACGGGGGTGGGGGGTGGAGCCAGAAGAAAATCTCAGAAAAGGAATTTTGACAGTGAGAATGCTGGTTAAGACAGCGCTCCGGGGCGCCCCGATGTCCCTTGTTTGATGTCCATAAAGCCCGAGAGGATTATGCGTTAGCAAGTCTTGAGTATTCTTGAGACATCAATAAAGTCTGGACTTGGGGCCGGTAGGGGGGCTGGGGTCACATCCAGGAGACTTAGGTCAGCTTGGGGGCTCCTCTCTGTCATAGCGCTAGAGGGACTGGGATGCGAGAGTTGCCGCTGCGATAATTTTTTAAAGTTGCGGACATTCGAGCAGTAGTAACTGGAATGGGGAGGGGGGGCTCTCTCGAAAGCTAGGAATGTGGGGGCGGCCTGAAGAGGAGCGGGGCCCTC